TAAAGTAATTCTCACTGTGTCATTTATCTCCCATCCTAGTTAGTTGGGTGGACACCCCAGGGTGATTATAAGGCTATTTCTTTTCTATTTAATCGAGCTTTATCAGATGTCTCATTCCACTAGCTCCCTGGTCTCTTGTTAATATCTAACTAACTGCGTACACCAATAACAGGAGATGGAAGTGTGTGTGTGTGTGTGTGTGTGTGTGTGTACACACACATATATGTGTTTCATAGTGAGAGACAGACAGACATACGGAGGGATTTAGAAATGTTGTCTACAAATCATAGATCCCTTTGTGTGATAATTGATATTTATCCCTTAAATTTCCTGGCTTATTAGGGCTAAGGACTCTGGTGGTGACTTATGTGGATGCCATCAGTAGTGGTGCAGTGCCTTGTTTGGAGAATGCAGTTACAACACTGGCCCAGCTTGAGAACTCTGGGGCGGTTCAGAAGGCCGCCAACCACTACAGTGAGCAGATGGCCCAGAGAGTGAGCTTCCCCACAGACACGCTTCAACACCAGTATTTTAAAAATATATATATTTTATTGATTTTTTTTACAGAGAGGAAGGGAGAGGGATAGAGAGTTAGAAAAATCAATGAGAGAGAAACATTGATCTGCTGCCTCCTATACATCCCCTAGTGGGGATGTGCCTGCAACCAAGGCACATGCCCTTGACCAGAATCGAACCAGGGACCCTTGAGTCCGCAGGCCAACGCTCTATCCACTGAGCAAAACTGGTCAGGGCTCAACACCAACATTTTTGATGAAGAACCTGAGACCTAAAGTGGTTAGAAGCTTTCCCCTGCCTCACATGTAATTTTCAGGGTTGTGAGTAAAGGAAGCCTTGTGATTCCTTCTTATTCCACATCCTTCTCCAACAGAATGCCTTTCTCATGAAGACCACAGCTAGACTTCCTTCCACCAGGTTCTTTGGAACTTTTTCTCCTCTGTTCCTTTCTCCTGGTGACAGCCCTCTATACTTCCCTTTCAGGAAATCATAAAGGATAAGCAGGATAAGATCTTGCTGCAGAATGAAGAGGCATCTGTTAAATTCTGCCAGGAAAAACTTGAGCAGCTTTCCATGTCCCTAATGGAAGGTATTTCAGCAGGCATTTTTTCTATTCCTGGTGGTCACAAGCTCTACATGGAAACAAAGGAAAGGATTGAACAGGACTACTGGCAAGTGCCCAGGAAAGGAGTGAAGGTGAGGGAGAA